GTAGCTGATAAGGTATTTTCCTTACTTCATTTTATTTGATGATTTACATATTTGTGAGGTGCTTAACTTATGGATTTTAATGTAAGTGAAATCTGAGCTCGACAAACTGATGGAGGCCAAGGATCAGGCCTTGAATTTGTATAACAACATGGAGGTTAAGAGAGCTCAGTTTGCAATAAAAGAAAAAGAATACGAAGAGAAGCTTAACACGATGGGGTTTGAGCTGAACTCGAGGTTGGAGATGGAGGAGAAGTGAATAGGGGAGATTAGAGCTCTGAGAGAGGAGGCCGATCGTAGGGCTGAGGCTGAGAAGAAGATGATTGAGGAAGAGAAAGTTCGGACTGAGGAGGCTATGGAGAAGGTACGGGAGGCAAATGAGAGAGCAAGAGAGGTGATGCGCAGAGCTGAGGAGGCTGAATCTAGGGCTGCAAGGGCAGTGGAGACTTGGAGGTCGTCCTCCGAGTTTGATGCTCTTACTCAGGATGCTGTCGTGGCTCTGGAGGAAGTAGTAAAACACATTCACAGAGAGAGGCCAAGGTTCGACGTGGGTTTCCTTGAGGAGGCTGTGGAAGAGCAGATGGAAGAGTTTCAGCGTTTGTCGAAAGCGACAGGGGTTCGGATTTCTCCTGCTGATGAAGATGATGTCGCTCCTCGCGAAGACCTCCCTCCCCCTAGCTCTTCTTAGGACATTTTTTGGATTTGTGATTAATTTGTTAAACTTTATGGATATATTGTTTGTGCTCGAAGATGAGCCGTACTCTATTTTGAATGCTTATGAAAATGCATGTTTTCTTGTTCTTGTGGGGTCTAAATTTTATTGCTTATTTCATCATTTCGTGAATTTTTAATGATGGAATGTCTTCTAGTCAACGTATGTGACAGAACTCGTAAGTCATGCGAACCTAGATCGGCCTGCACATGCTGCTGGGCTTCGTAGAATTTCCAAATAGGAATTTTTGCTAAGGGTCATAGCATTTACAACCTTAGATCGGCCTGCGTATGTAGCAGGGCTTTGTAAGATTTTTTAGGAGGAATGTCCACTAAGAGTAACACGTACAGTCTTAGATCGGCCTGCGTAAATAGCAAGACTTTGTAAGATTCCTTAGGAGGAATGTTCACTAAGGGTCACAGCACTTACGACCTTAGATCGACCTGCGTATGAAGCAGGGCTTTGTAAGATTCCTTAGAAGGAATGTCCACTAAGGGTAACACATACAGCCTTAGATCGGCGCAGGGCTTTGTAAGATTCCTTAGGAGGAATGCCCACTAAGGGTAACACGTAAGGCCTTAGATCGGCTTGCGTATGTAGCAAGGCTTTGTAAGATTTCTTAGGAGGAGTGTCCACTAAGGGTAACACGTACAGCCTTAGATCGGTCTGCATATGTAGCAGGGCTTTGTAAGATTCCTTAGGAGGAATGTTTACTAAGGGTCGTAACACTTACGATCTTAGATCGGCCTACGTATGGAGCAGGGCTTTGTAAGATTCTTTAGGAGAAATGTCCACTAAGGGTAACACGTATAGCCTTAGATCGGCCTGCGTATGTAGCAGAGCTTTGTAAGATTCCTTAGAAGGAATGTCCACTAAGGGTAACACGTATAGCCTTAGATCGGCCTACGTCTATAGCAGGGCTTTGTAAGATTTCTTAGGAGGAATGTCCACTAAGGGTAACATGTACAGCCTTAAACCGGCCTGCGTATGTAGCAGGGCTTAGTGGACATTCCTTAAGAGGAATGTCCACTAAGGGTAACACGTACAACCTTAGATCGGCCTGCATATGTAGCAGGACGTTATAAGATTCCTTAGGAGGAATGTTCACTAAGGGTCGCAGTACTTAAGGAATGTCCACTAAGGGTAACACGTACAGCCTTAGATCGGCCTGCGTATGTAGCAGGACGTTGTAAGATTCCTTAGGAGGAATGTTCACTAAGGGTCACAACACTTACGACCATAGATCGGTCTGCGTATGGAGTAGGGTTTTGTAAGATTCCTTAGAATGAATGTCCACTAAAGGTAACACGTACAGTCTTATATCGACCTACGTATGTAGTAGGGTTTTGTAAAATTCTTTAGGAGGAATGTCCACTAAGGGTAACACGTACAACCTTAGATTGGCCTGCGTATGTAGCAAGGTTTTGTAAGATTCCTTAGGAAGAATGTCCATTAAGGGTCGCAGCACTTACGCCCTTAGATTGACCTGCGTATGGAGCAGGGCTTTGTAAGATTCCTTAGGAGGAATGTCCATTAAGGGTCGCAGCGTTTACGCCCTTAGATCGGCCTGCGTATGAAGCAGGGTTTTGTAAGATTCCTTAGGAGGAATGTCTACTAAGGGTAACACGTATAGCCTTAGATCGATAGGGATATTCTTCCCACGGGGATGCTATCGAATTCTTCAATTCCCTCACTGGTGGCTAGCCGGGCTAGTGCGTCGGCGTGACCGTTCTGCGATCGAGGAATTTGCTTGACTTCGGTGGTGTTGGACCTTTCAAGTTCTTTTCTTACAACTTTTAGGTAGTTGTCCATTCTTTCTTCTTTCACCATATATACACCGTTGACCTGATTTACGACTAGTTGAGAGTAGCTATGTATGATCAGGTCGGAGATCCCCAACCCTAAGGCCATCTTTGTGCCGGCAATGAGAGCTTCGGACTCTGCCTCATTGTTTGAGGCTTTAAAGTCAAACGGCAAGGCTTCGCAGAATATGCGATGTTCAAGGCTAATTAATACGACGCCTACCCCAAATCGTTCTCCGATGGATGAACCGTCAACAAAAAGTCTCCATGGGGTTTCTTCTTATAGTTCCTCGATTGAGACATTGCAGAACTCAGAGACAAAGTCGGCGAGTGCTTAGCCCTTGATGGAGGAACATTCTCGACTGCCCATTTTACCATCCGACCTGAAGTGTCGAGTCTTTGCAGCGTTTGCCTTAATGGAGAGTTGGTGAGGACCTCAATGAGGTGTTCTAAGAAATATGGCCTTAGTTTTCGCGCGGCTATCTACAGGGTGAATGCCAATTTCTCTACAGGTGAATACTTAAGCTCGGTTTCGTGAAGCTCCTCGCTTACGTAATAGACTGGGTGTTGAACACCGTTTTCTTCTCGGGTTAGAACCACACTAATGACGTATTCTGAAATAGATAAATAAAGCTTCAGGACCTCGCCGACCTTAGGTTTTGAAAGCAATGGAGGCTGAGCTAGTTGTCTCTTTAGCTCGTTAAAGGCATCTTGACATTCTTTGGTCCATTCGAACTTCTTTCCTCCTCGTAACGTGTCAAAGAAGGGTTTGCAATGGTCCGTAGACTTGGAGACGAACCGGCTGAAGGCGGCAATCCTTCCGATTAAACTTTGTACCTCTCTAAGTTTAGTTGGAGACCTCATTTGGATGACAGCTTGTATTTTTTAGGATTTGCCTCGATTTCTCGGTTGTTCGCAATGTAACCTAGGAATCTTCCAGAGCTGACCCCGAAAGCACATTTCCTTGGGTTCAACTTCATTCCATACTTCCTCAGTATATCAAACATCCGGTCAGGTGCTGACAGTGATCCTTGGGCTTTTGACCAGCATATCATCAACATACACTTCCATTGTTTTTTCGATCTGTTGGAAAAACATGGAATTCACTAGTCATCGGTAGGTCGCACCAGCGTTTTTGAGACCAAATGGCATTACTCTGTAGCAGTAAAGACCTCGGTCAGTTACAAATGAGGTATGTTCTTGATCTGGGCCGTACATCAGTATCTGGTTATATCCGGAATACGCGTCCATGAAGCTAAGTAGTTCGTGTCCGGTAGTGGCGTCCACCATTTGATCTATTCTTGGTAAAGGAAAAATATCTTTTGGGCATGCTTTGTTGAGGTCGGTGAAGTCTATGCATACCCTCCAATCTCCGTTGTGTTTTTTCACAAGGACCGAATTTGCGACCCACTTAGGGTATTTGGCCTCACGGAACCTCCTTGTTGAGTGCTTCATATCTTTCAGGCAAGGTTCTAAAATGCGTAATGCGTGGCAATGCATTTCGATCGAGCATCAAGCATTTAAAGAATTTGCGTGCTTATGCGAAGCATATACGTTATTATGCCTTTTGCCAATTTTTAATATTTTAAACTAATAAATAAATAAAATAATGTATTCTTTGAATTTTTATGCATATTCTTCAAATTAAAAATTTTTTTTACTCAAATTATAAATACTACAATAAGACAATTACTTCAAATTTATATATATTTTTCAAATTTTCAACAAAATATTTGCTCAAAATCATAAATACTACAGCTACTTGATAATCAACTCCTACGATTTGATTAAACAAGAATATTGGCAAAAAAATTCTAAATCTTGTCTAGCTCTTTATTAGATTCTAATTCAATCTCCTCTTCTTCATTCAAGTCATCTTCAGTGTCATCTGATACGAAATCATTTTCATCGGGTTCCCTTATTTCGACTTGAGAATTTCTATTACCTCTTGTAGATGGTAATATATTGTCAACTTTCTCCTCATCATCACAACCATCAACAATCCAAGATTGTGCATTACTAGCATCACTTGCTAATAAAATTTCTAATTTATCCTTCCTCTTCTTTTTGTTCATCAACCTTGCATTAAATTGAACATAAACTAGGTTTTTCATCCTTGTGGCATCTAAGCGGTTCCTCTTCTTGGTGTGTACCTACATAAAGAAGTTTAAAAATTTTAGTGTGCTAATTTAAATTATCAAATAACTACTAAAGTAATAACTAAAATGCATCAACGTAATTATTTAATTAGTACTTACCCCTTCAAAGACACTCAAATTTCTCTCACAACCGGATGAACTAGTAGTCAAACCAAGGATCCTCTTTGCCATTAATTTTAAGTTTGGTGCTTCATTGCCATAAAAGTCCCACCAACTTACTAGTAAATGCAAAAGAAAGAGATAAAAATATTATAATATGTACATATGGTATGTTACAAGAAAAAGAATAATAATATTAACATATCCGAACTGTAACTTGAAGTATTTTTCTCACATCCACATGCTGCTAGTTTTCTTCCAAATGCACCTTCTTTTTGAGTGTATCTTTGCAACTCAACATTTATCACATGATGTTGCATTTGAGCATCGGAAAAGAACTTTTCAACATAAAGAATCACATTATTAGTTATCAATTGATTATCTTTGATTTTTGGATTCTTGAAGAAGTAAAACAGATTCAAAAGATAAGCTGTTGTGTGAAGTGGGCTATCAATTTGATCCTTGCCCTTTACATCAATAATGTTCAAGATTGGCATATAGTCACTTTCCCTCTTCAACATCTTTATAATGTCATCCTTTGCCTTTAGTAGCTCTCCATAAACAAATCCCATTGAAGGTTTCTCCTCTTCATCAACTAGTCTAAGAACTTTCACTAATGGAGTAAACACTCTCAAACACAAGTCTATCAAGATCCAAAAATCATTGGGAACAACAATATCAAAGGTCTCTTTTCCCTTTTTGCTCTTAGACCATTTTGTATTGTCCCATTCATTGCTAGTCATCATGTTTCTCAACTCTTATTTTTTATCGAGCAAACTTTGTAATGTTAAGAAAGATGTAGCAAATCTAGTGACTCCCGGCCGAACTATCTCCCTTTTTGTAAACTTCCTCATTAGTGCCAAAGTCTTATGATGTGCATAGATGAAAATAGTAAATGATTTTGCCTTCCTAATCACTCCTTTGAAGCTAGGAAGTTTAGAGATTCCCTCGAGCATAAGGTTCAAGTTATGAGTAGCACAAGATGTCCAAAAGATATTAGGCCTTTGCATTGATAACAAATTCACGACGGCCGTGTTATTGGAAACATTTTCGGTTACAATTTGAACCACATTTTCCTCTCCAACCTCTTTAATACATTCATTGACATATTCAAAGATGTATTCATCGGTGTGAGCATCATCATTAGTTTCCTTTGAAGAAAGAAATGTGGTTCCCAATTTACAATTCACACACAAATTCATGATACTTCTTCTTTTGCTATCACTCCAAGCATCGATCATAATAGAACACCCGTTATTTTTCCATTCTTCTTCTTGCTTCTTAAGAGTTTCTTTTGTTCTCTCCACCTCTCCCTTCAAAAGTGGCTCCCTTAATTGGTCTTGAAAAGTTATCCATGGGACCCACATGTATAGGCCTTTTCCTTCCCCCTTCAATGATAGAAATTTCTACCTCTTCTTCTTCATGTGTAGACATAGATATAACTACATCTTCCCTCAACTTAGCTTTATTCAATGCATTCTCTAACTTCTTAGACTTAATCTCTTCAAGTGCTTCACGACACTTGGCTTTTTGCTCTTGACTTGCTTTAGGACACGGTTTCACACCCATTCCCTTGATGCCTGCTATGTGTACTTTATGCCTATTAATCGCGGTCTTTGTAACTTTGTCACACAATGTGCATCTCACATTATTAGGTTTACTAACATCTTCAACAACTGCAGTTTCCCATCCAACATCTCCTGAACTCTTTTTCAGCTCATTATCTTCTGAAATGGAATTAGATGCCTTCAAAGAATCATTTTGCTCCATTGGCTTCTAGTAAATTGAAAAAAAAATGATAAAAGCAAGAATCAGCTTGTGAGCAATTATTTAATTTCATTTGAAGAATCATCTTGCGTCATTGGCAACGAACTTAACAGTGAACTGGTCAGAGTTCATGTTTTAATCTCACTAACATAATGACCAATTATTTAATTTCATTGATCGATTATTTAATTAATATATTATCATCACAGCTTTAGTAGATATCTTAAATTATATGATTCATCCATATTATATTATATAACTTGCTTTTCTCTCTTACACAGTTACACTGCCTGACAAGCACTATTAGACATTGGTTAATTTCTTTCTGTAAACACCATAATTGTTAATCACCATAAATTAAGAATAATATCAATAATAAAATTGAAATAGTAGACTTACATAAAAGCAAAAAACGAACAGGTTTCCTTTAGTGCTTTTTAAGCTTTCCTTGGTGGGCAGCAGCCAGCAGGACGATGGGCATCAAGATTCAGGGTATGTATAATGTCCAGATAAAGATTTATGCTACAGTCAAAACCCTGGAGATTTTTGTATATAATTGATGGACTTATGTGATTTGGGTCAATTTGATGTTTGTTGGGCTCAATTATATTTTTTTAAGTTATAAAAATGGGTTGTACTTTGTTATGTTAATTGGAACATATTTTTAATTACAAATGCGTGGCATTTTGGAGAATATGCGCGCATATGCGGTCAACGAAATGAGTTGACCGCATTATCATATGCATACCCCATATGTGATGCGTTTCGAAAACGCATTGAGAATAAGCATGCATATGCGAAGCATATGCGCGCATTTTAGAACACTGATTTCAGGGTTCAGAGGTCGTCATTTTTGCTGCTTTGGTCGAACTGAAGGATCCACCTGTAATTTGTGGCATGCGATGTTGGAGTCTATTCCTCTCATGTCCCCGTGATTCCAGGTGAAGACATCAAGGTTTTGTCTAAGGAAGGCCACAATTTTGTTTCAGGTGGATGGCTGCAGCTCGCGCCCGACTTTGAGCTCCTTTGTTGGGTCCTTGGCACGGACTTGAACTCCTTCTAGTTCTTCAACGGGTTGTCCTCCTTCGATCCTGGTCCGCGGGTCTAGTGGAATGAGCTCAGATTCCCATACATTTGCCTTATGCACTCCCGGGGAGTTGCGTTGATGGTTGGTACAGGTTTCCCTCATGGCGGTCGTTTGAGGGTCTTGCCATCATGGAGAACTTGGTGGTGTATTCGTTTCATGAGGGTGGGTGTGAAATGGATTTCTGAAACTTGAGCTTCGACTCATGGCTCTCGGATTTGGTGGAGAGAATGAGACTATTTTTCACAATTAGGGCCCTTCCTCTAGCACCAAATTGTTGACGTCAAAATTAGCAAGGCTAATCTTCAACCAACTTCAAGAAAAAAGGGCGATTTATTGTTGAAAAAAGACCACAAAATATGTTTAGAGAGTGTAATTATGCCTTAGTTGTTGTATGAAATCACTTGCCCTTTACAAGAGTCCTATTCAACTATTTATACATAGTTTCAGCCGACATTACATCAAATCAATCAAATCAGCAACAGTATCGAGCTCGGGACTCAGGTCGCTGGATTATCTTGTAATTGGTCGATGAGGCCGGTGGCCATGTGTCAATGTTTTTTCCAGGTAATGATGACCTGCAAAGGGCTGGAGGTTGAGGACTTAAGATTGGTTGTTTCGAGCGGTGATGATGTTACCTGTGGCAAATGTATTTGATTGATAGGATGATGTAACAGAGGGTAATCATGATATTTTTCTGAAATAACGGCGAGATTGTCTGACCTGGTAGTAAGGACCGAACTCACATTTAACTGAGGTGGGGTTAGCGAATTGTTTTTATTAGATCGGAGTTTGGATGTCAACAGAATTCATTTAACTAGGTTGAATTTCATAGAGATATGAAATTTAATTAATTAAATAGGTTCAATGAGAACTCGAGATGGGTAAATTGAATATAATAGGAGAATTCGACCGAAAACTATATTAGATGTGAATCTTAAGTTGAGATGTAAAGGTGATTAATATGAGAAGTTATTATGTCTTAATGTCTATTCATTATTTGATTTTCAAGACAATCGTGTGCGCATCCATTTATTTTCCAAGCATTTAGATTAAAACTCAAACCCTATAACTTTTTATTTGTTTTCATCAAATAGTGATTAAAGAAAAATTGAATTAAGTGCGGGAATATAGTCATTGTGAGATCGACAACCCGAACTCTTAGGTCCACTATTACTTGTTACGGTTTGTACACTTGCGAAAATAAAATTGACAACACTATTCATAGGCGCTCACTGCGATAGATGCCCTACGTGGCATCCAACATGATGGTTTGTGAGTTGATGTATTAATATGGTAGTTTTTTCTTATTTCAAATATCAAATCACTAATAGTTACATGTATACCACGTAGAGCGACTGTGATAGTGATTGATTACAAATAGCATTATTCTTATTGAAATAACAACTAAACAAGATATAATTAGACTAATCCGTGCATATGATATGCAATATCCGAACATCCATGGGTCAAATGCATATTTTTCATTTTTTCCAATGTTCCATGAATGTCTCTATGATAAAGCTTCACTTTAGTTTAAATGTAAATTCAATCCATTATCACCTATCGCAACGAACTATATATTTAGTTGGAGTGTGGGGGTTCGATTCCTGAAACATGGAATTGGACTCCTTGTAGTATACATGCAACTCTTGTTCCCTGACCTGTTGGGACACATCTCGCGATTTACCTCCCTTACAAAGCTCTAGGAGCAGGGCGCTGGGGGCCCTCAAGGTTGGGGTTCAACCTTTTTTTATATATATATTTAGTTGGAATATTATATATTCTTTGCAAAGTTACTGACCGATGGACCAAGCATTCTATATACCACATAGAGTTTGAATCGTCTTATAATTTAAAGTAAATGGAGCAGGATAATTGTGTAATTGAACATTTATATTTTGGATCCAAACAACATTGTGAAAAATGAATTGCGATCAACCGTTTATTTCCTTGTCGTAGGATTCGTGCCTCAAGATTCCGTAACTGATACTCGTTCAGAAGAATCTACTTTGGTCATCTTCATCCACCTTCATAATCAGCCGTTGATTTACTTGTCATAAGATTTGTGCCTTGAGACTCCGTCATTGGGACTCAATCGACGTAATATACTTCGATCATTTCTATCCTTCTTCGCGAATTCTAACCTTAATCAGCCATGACAAGGTGAATTTATTAGAATAGTTGTTGTTTACTGTGCTTTGCTGTTGTATTATTCTAATCCATTTGTTTTAAATATTTCCCGCATATTTTAACAAGAGCCATAACAAAACTATCTGACAAAAAAAAAATAAAAAAAAAAAATGAACCAAGACTCTCCATCACATATCCGACAAAAATTCAGTCCTCAAATTCCTCCACCACTGTCAATGTTGCCCCACGCCACCGTTCAAGAGGCGGAGACCGCCCTAGGCCGATCTCTCACCACCGCAGAAGCCATTTGGTTCAATTACTCCGCCGCCAAATCGGACTACTTTTTATACTGCCACAACATTCTCTTCCTCTTTGTTATTTTCTCTGCTCTGCCACTTTACTATATCTTCCTAGAAATCTTCTTTATGGACTCGATCAAGTCGTACAAAATTCAACCCAAAGTGAAGCTCTCAGTTTCTGAGGTGTTCCGATGTTACAAATCTGTTATGCGCATGTTCTTTCTCGTTGTGGGTCCTCTTCAACTTGTGTCCTATCCCTCTATTAAGGTACCCATTTCTTAATCGAACCACAAATCAATATTTTTGTTAATTATGCTGAATGTGGGATTATTTTAATGAATGAAGATGATAGGGATAAGGACAAGTTTGCCATTGCCTTCTTTATGGGAAATTATAGCCCAATTGGGGGTTTATTTCATTGTGGAGGATTATTTGAACTATTGGATCCATAGATTTCTGCATTGCAAATGGGGATACGAGAGGATTCACAAGGTGCATCATGAGTACACGGCTCCAATTGGGTTCGCGGCGCCGTATGCGCACTGGGCGGAGATTTTGATCCTCGGGATCCCCTCGTTTATGGGGCCTGCGTTCGTCCCGGGTCACATGATTACTTTCTGGTTGTGGATTGGACTAAGGCAGATTGAGGCTATTGAGACTCACTGCGGGTAATGAACGCCTGCTTAAAATTGCTCATGTTTTCATGTGATTCACATTTTGGAAAAACGTCAGCTTTGATTGATTAAGTGTGATTTTTATCTTCTTGCTTTTGATAATTTGGCCAAATGATGCTAAACAGTAACATTGATTCCCTATCTTTTTAACTTTTTGCTTTTGAGACTTCCAAATTGGATAAAAGTGGTTGTACAACCTACAGCCCCTTGCAAAGGAGGGCGCCGCGCATTTTTTTATTCACACGGGATCCCTCCTTTTTGAGGGGGCTGTAACCCGTGCTGTGTGCTGAGCGGTTCTTTCAAATTATCCTCGTCAATTACAGTAAAGTTTTGTGCACAGTAAATGGGATCTGATGGATGTTTCTCTCTCTCTAGATTTCCTTTTTCTGTGTCTGGAAAGTTTGTAGAGTTGGGCCCTCTGCCGTCATGTCATACGAATTGGGTGAGTTGACCTGTTAGATTCTATTGTCGAAATAAGGTCCATTCAATCATTGTACAAAGAAATTTCTTTTTCTCGCTTCTTACTGCATCTGAGTAGTGCGTTTCTATACAAAGCCCTCAAAAACCAGAGAAGAAATGTTAGCCCAGACACTTTCACAATACAACTAGCCCTCCCATTCTTCCTCTTATCCCTTCTTAAGGAATACCACTTTGAACGAATAAAGAGAACAAGTTTGGATTATAAAAGGTTGTTGAATTAGAAATTTTGTAATTAGAAATTTAAAGCTGACTAACTTTAAATTTGATCGCTACTTTGGTTCTTTTTAAGAAATTATCTCTTGCTCTATTCAGATATAAACATATACATTTTTGGGATTATTGCTCAGTTTTGTTCACGTATATTGTAACACATATGTTTTCCCCCTTTTCCTTTAGATTCTTTTGAACAATACTATGCATTTTATAAACTCATGCATCTGAAACAGATTTAGTTAGACTCAATTGGTTTGGGAACCTTTTTTTCCATATCGTTACTCCTAAAAGGGGTGATTTTGAAATACAGATTTATTAGTCTCTAAACTTTGTTATAATCATTGGTGTTATATTAAGGTACTTGAAATGAGGAAACCTTTATATGGCCCATGATAAAGGGCACTAGAGATTTTGGGCTTATACTACTTTTTTCAATACGTCCACATTGGATAGAATGCAGGGGAAGACTTATACGGCATTAAAATCTCAGTTTATGAATCAATTTGATTGGGACTTCTTGGGATCATATTGTTACTTCAAGCAGCTTAGCTACCAATGCAGTGTCAAAGCTGTTTTCAAAATTGTCGAGCAATCTCCAGCTAACATCGAGTGCAGTGGACCGGATCCATGAAGTTAATGTATTGTTTATTTGTTTTTCTGCCTTTATCATTTCTTGATAACTGCAAAACATGTTCAAGAGAGGTGTGGGGGTGAGGGTGGAGACCTATTCTGCTCTAAAGTTCAAGGTAGCCTTTTTGTGAAAAGAACGTAAAAATATGAGTGTGATGAATTGTATGTGTGTATAGATTATTGAGTACGTATTAAAGAATTCTCTCTTCAAGTCTTAGGAGGGTTGACCTTTGTATAATGGGAGGGAGGAATGGTCCTTTATTGGTTGCCTTGTCATTTTGGTACTCACAATGAGTTCTCCCATCATCCTCAGAGAAATCATTATTAAAGTACTCTAAAGCTGGGCTAGTGCTGCAAGACTCTTTGTGAGGGTGTTGTGCTTGATTTTTTCCTTTTTTTTTTTTTTTTTCCTCCATCTGGCCTACTTGGCCATGTGTTATTTACCTCTGATTTGCTCCCTTTTGCTCATGCGGCTGAGCAAAACTTTTGATTGTAAGCTGACTTTTCTAAACACCGTGTGAGCTCCTGTGAGCCTCATTTTATCACGTTATTTTAGTTTGTTAAAAATGAAAAGAGAAATGATGTCATTATGTGAAATGGATTTTACATGGTTTTACATGAACTTGTGGAACATGAACTCAAACAACTAGAAAACTGATCTAATGATGTATGATAAATGGATAATTAATTTATTTAAATTTCTTCTAGTGTTAATGTAAATATTGCCGTACTCAATTATATGTATTGTGTTCTTTAAGTTATTATATTTTAATAAGTTGGTGATTTCAGATTTTGCTGATTAAGTTTCAATTTCCTTGTCCAGTTTATCCTTCTTTTTGTTGGAAAATGTTGATTATAAAAATAACATTTCATAAAATGGTATGAATTTGAATTTAATATCACACACATGCATATATTTTTTGATCGGCAAATGTAAATTTTATTAATCATTCTACATGATTACAAGTATTCCAGGCATACCTGGGTAATCATGATCAAACGATGTACAAATGATAATGACATAAAGACCACCCCGATGCTAATGACTTGAACTGAATCAATATATATCTATTGGAAAAAGAAGCTATCTGGAAAATTGCTTCTACCTGGAATGTGATTTTACAGTTCTGAATTTGACAATATTCATTCTTTCTTATTTGCTTGTAGTTACTGAATAAGATTCTTAATGAACCAGTTTTTTTTTCCTTCTTTAAGCAGTGTTGTGGTGTTGGATTTATGTACATAATATGTTAGATTCTAGAAGAAAATAAATATCATATATGTTCTGGCAGTCCTACAAGTAAACTGTTGAATTGTTTATTGACACAGTCCCTTTTCTTGGTACAAGCCTACTTCAAAACCATTTGTCTTTCAATGTATTGTGAAAGTTTGGTGCTCCGTGCCACTTAACCTTCCACTCTCCAATTTAGAGTTGCACTTTAACCTCAACAGTTGACACCATAAGAAGGTTTTTTTTTCAAGTATAATGTCCCTAGTGAACTAAAGATCAAGCTCTACCAGAGGTTATTATGTCTTGATCTATTTATACTGAAAATTAATTTTCCTTTTGAGTCCAACCACTTAACTTGGTTACATCATAGAAGGTTTTATACTGACAAATTAAAATCTTGAAAGCTGTTTGTATAAATCCTCAATACTAAAGGGTTGAGGCCACTGCACCTTGTTGGATATACTTCTCTTATCTTGATATGGATGATTTGTTTGCTTATCAGTATTATATGGTTTTAGCATACAAAAAGCCTCAATATTAAAGTAGAACGTTTTTTTGAAGTTTCCTAGGAATTTTGGTTACTTAATATTGGGATATATGTATATTCTTCTTTATTTCATTTGAGAATTGTATACCTTCTGATGATTCAGGTACGACTTTCCTTGGACTCCGACAAGATATATTCCTTTTTATGGTGGTCCAGATTACCATGATTATCATCATTATGTTGGTGGAAAAAGCCAAAGTAATTTTGCTTCGGTATTCACCTATTGTGATTATTTATATGGAACTGACAAGGTGATTATACAAATAGATCATTTAAGCGATTAGGTGTAGTTGGCTTCTAAGTGATTGTAGCCTGATGCAATATTTCTCTTTTGATTTTCTCTCTCAGGGATATCGATATCAAAAGAAAGTCCTCCAGCAGGTAACTTACTGTGTCCTCATCTAGCAGCTTATTTATATGAATTTTAATATATGTGAGGTATTCATTGGTCGGATAGGATTCCTTAATATTGATTACACATCCTGCTGGCCAAGTCTAGCAATCTTGGTGATTGTCAAGTCGAAAATTTCTAAATGTTACCAATAAGGATATCGCATTATGTACAAGTAGCATATTCCATTTGCATAGATAGCATTTTTCTTGATAGTCTATGCTTTTAAGTTTCATCGAAAAAGCCACTTTTTTCTTCACAAATTTTGCGTTATACAATTCCGAAGTCTATTTTTTACTGATATTCTCTTCGATCTGGGACAGTTGCGGGCTGGACAGAAAAGCAATGGCGAGCAAATAGGCGTTTTGCACAACATATCTGCACAAGATGTTAAAGTTGACTAGCATTGACATATTCGAAACTGTCTCTAGACAATATCATCCTCTGTAATGCTTCTTATTGGAGACATAACTAGTTGTCGAAGTCTTAGGTTTGAACTTTGAAGGTGACGTAGATTCGTACACGGTTTTGATGATGTCTGATAGAATCGTGCCGTTGTCCTTTGGACGCCATAGTGCATTTATGATTCAATACACGTACATTTAACTAACTAAATATTAACCGGATTCTACTAATGTAATTAATTCATAGTTAACAATCGTGCTCATGATGAAGCTAAGGATTATACAACTCCTTTGGAGCCTATTACGTATAAAAATGCAGTCGAAGCATCAATGGCACTATAATTTTTCGTTACAACTCACATTATTATTAAGTCATTTGACATTTGGAATTATGTGAAAATTATTTGAACGACCATTGTTCTTAGAAATGCATTCAAACTCAAAATTTAAATTTATTAAGGAGTAAATATATTACCACCACAAAATTTATTAGGTGCACCACATTATATTTACATCATAATTAAAATATAGTTTCAATAAATACACCACAACAAATTAACAATCATATACCTAAATTTATAAATTAAAATAAAAAGAACTATAGATTTTAATAAATACACTACAACTACATATTTTTCTTTTTTTCTAGTAATTTCTTTTTCACCGTGTACAATTTATGTTGCATGCATCCATGGCTATATGGACTAGATAAGAAAAGAAGTAGAAAACCTTACCCATTTCTTCTCATCCACATTATCAAGAGATATGGGAAAGGTTTTCTTCTCATTCACACTAATTTTATTAATTATTTTTTCAAAGAAGGGGAGATAAAGAAGAAGAAGAAAACATGATTTGAAAGAAATGGGTATAAGTCTCTTTTATTAGTGAACTTGATTTATAATTTCAAAGAGGTCATTGAAATGTTTTGAAAGTTGTTAAAAGAAGATGAACCAAATTACAATACACACAGGGAGAGATACATATTTGCGGCCTTTATTATGTAATTTTCTAAAGAGTCTAAACTTTTAAGGATGAAATTTAAATTTCTGTCGACCTTTCTTGGTACAAATTATTATATACCTGGTTTTATATGTGTATTTATTCATTTTGATGAGTGAAGATTTCATAAATATAATTAATTCTGTGTAATAAAACCTGACTATTTTGATTCTCTTACTAATTTTATAAATTATTATATCACTGAAATGTTTTTTTCCCTTCACTTTTCGTTTGGTCTGCATCATTCTTAACTTTTAGTCAAAAATATATACAAACTGCTACTCATTTCACAAATAATGAATTGGAAATTTTTTTTTATAAAGAATGATTTAAACGAATTAGAGTATATGTTCTCCATTGTTTTCGGAAAGAGTTGCATTTTACAATTATAAGTTCTAACAAATTGAAAAAAAAAAAAAATTTAAAAAGAACGATTAAACAAATTGATGAATTCTTACATGTGGTATCATGGAACAAAACTAGCAATTATAGAAAAGAAGAAGAAATTAGGTTTAGATTTGTGGTGCGATTATAATGTGGTGATTAATTAAATGTACATTAACCCTAATTATGTAATTTTAATTAAGGCTATTTAAGTAAATAAGAACAAAATTAAAAATTGTGGTGCACTTAATAAATTTTGTGGTGATAATATAATTACCCATTAAGGCATATATACCTCATGAGGACAGACATACAACTTTTAAACCATCCAGAATTGATTTGTATTTTTGGAATAGTGACCATTTCCAATTGGGGACTTTTCTCCACCTAAAAGGGAAATTGATGGGCATGAATTGTGTAAATGTATGCATGATGTGTGGAGTGTAATTGTCCGTTTACCGTCGTCCATTTTGCATATGGATACATAAATTTTTCATACTTTATTTATTGAGACAAATGTGATACGTCCATAGTAATTTTAATGTTCTCAAGATGCGATGTACAATTATTTTGGAGACTAGTTAGAGCATATTATTACGATGAAGAATTTAACAAAACTTTCTTAATAATTGGGTTTAGCGGCTGGCTATACATAGAATTTCTCATCTAAGGATGAAAATTGAGTTAATCGTAGCGAATAATTTGATGTATTATTTACGAGCAAAATACGATAAAATAACTATTCAATATTTACATTTATGGGGATCGGTTAATGGATATATTAGCCAAATAGGTGACTAATCTTGATAAATTATTATTGTTGAGGTCATGTAAAATCCATTAATTTATATAATGCATTTATGATTCAATACACATACATTTAATCTATTAAATATTAACCGTACTTTACTAATATAAGCAGTATTAATTAACAAAAGATTCATCATTATTTATCGTGCTCATGATGAAGCTAACGATTACACAACTTTGGAGCCAATATGTGAAATAAATAGTCGAAGCAATTTAAGAATGTCACTAAGAACTCAAATGGATTTAAATTTCAAGAATAAACAATCGACAATAGCGTCATATTTAACGAAAATATCACAATTATTTATATTTGTATTCTTTTATCAAATTATATTAATTTATGATGTGAGTGAGACAACTATTTATATAGACGTTTTAAAAAGTATTATTTTATCAATTTATTAAAATTAATAATTCATCCAACTAGTCCAAGTCGGACCGGAAAATTTTATAAAATATTTATGGATTATACCATATTAAGTATGAGAGGTATTGTCCCGTCTAAAGAGAAGTTACGAAAAAAACATTTATGTATCATGGGATTCTTTTCATCCAATTAAAGTGTGACATGTTTTACGAAATATTATTGACTGTAATTTATTTATTTATTTATTTTTAATTCTGAGAGGTAGCTCGATGATCAGATCTTGAGTTTGCTCCTTAATAGTCATCAATTCGAATCTCCGCAGGACAATTGAGGTGAGTACCCGATTGTAAACTTTAGGGTCCATGGGATTTGTCGAGTTGCAGGTAAGCTAGCCCAAATACCTATGGTTATTAAAAAAAAAAAAAAAGATTTTTTGTTTTGTTTTGTTAAATACAGTATGAAAATAAATTAAATACAACTTCCCCCTCCAATTTACACAAGAAAACAAAGTAAAACAGCTATTTTGTCTTTTACAAAAATTATATAATCCCCATTGATATTGATTAGCTTTTGAAATACTATTAATTAGAATACGATTTGACATTAAATTTTTTATAAATATGAGAATGACTATAATGAAAAACATGACAATTGACTTCTTATCATTTTAGTCGTATGATCTTCCAAGAAGAGATAGCGATGGTTTACTCACGACTAGTAGGCCTCCTTTTCATAATTGGAGTGTCTCGTCCGAGGATGAAAATCGAGTTAGTCGAAACAAATAATTTGATGCACAATCTACATTCAAAGTTGTGAGTTAAATAACTGTCATATTCACATAACGAGAGGACTATATACGGTTTTTAATAGAAAAATATATTTCTCTATCTATAAATACTAATAACATAATAAAATCATGGGAGATTTTCATCAACTTATTGACATAATTACAATTTGGTCCCCAAGCTATATTTCTTAGCAGTGTCATCTCGAATTTTCAGTTTTATATTGTCTTTAGTGCTTAGGAAGGGGGACTTCAAGAATCTCGCAGGGGTAGGGTCGTCTGGGATAGGCTAGGCTTAGGGAGGGAATGAGGGACGAAGGACTGGGTATGACATGTACTTCTAGGGATGGGGTAGGAAGAAGATACGTGATATGATATATTCAAGTATATAAGAGAAGATGCTAAAACGACATAAGACTTTGTAAATTATATTGTTTAATTATATCCAACTCTACATTACCATCATGCTCTTGTTAAGTGGAAGGACTATATAAATTATAACATGAAGTGTTGATAATTGTTTAAAACTAACCATATTGATCCAAATTGACCATGACATGATGTGCCTTGGACATACTAGCTCGATGAGCAAGTTTAAATTTATTTAGTGATTATTTCTTCTCTTTATGCTTTCTTTTGATCCAAAAATTGAATTTATAACATTTTAAAGTAAAAATGGTATGAAGCACATGACTTGCTATGAATCAACATTTGTTCGATAAGTATTTTGTTAATAAATTGAACGGAAAATGAGTTTCTACATAAACGCAATTTTTTTTACTAACAATTCAATTCATTTATTATAATTAAATAAAACATAAGACCAAGCTAAATTCAACTAGCACTAAAAAATCCTATCATTATCAAGTTTAAAATGTTTTAGAAGGTCCAATTTTTCACAAAGTAAATTTCAATGAATTAGTTATTTCTCAATAAATTAATTTAAACAACTTTCAAATTTGAATTAGTTTGTTACCTTGTTACCTTTTCTTTAAGAATTAAAGAGAAATTTGAATTAGGTAACATAAATAATGAGACTTGGAACCAATTACACGGATCAAAATGTCCAAATGATAATGAACCAAAGAAAAATAATGAACCAAAAGTCAAAATCACAGCCTCTATTTCTTGATTAAGTGGTCCTACTCTTTACAATTTCTAGGAAGCAAAACCCATCAACTATTATTTGATTATATTGTGAATTTGATATACTAAGGCAGGCCTAGAGAAAAAAGCAAAACAGACCAGTTAAGTGTTGAAAGGATTCCTTGCAAATCAGCGAAAGCTATCAATTGTGGACCTCAATTTGTAAGCCTAGGGAATTGGCTAAGATAGCGATCGATTGAACATCAAGTAATTTCTTATATAAATTATTCTTATAAATGTTTGCAATCAATTAATCGAGAGCTTGTTTGGGAGTTATTTTGAGAATTGATTTTTGGACCGTTAGGAGAAAAGTGGGGCCCACCTCTGAAAGAAGAAGTCAAATATGATGACTGGAATAGTGAAATAACGATCAAAAAATCAATTTTTTGGGGAGAAAAATCACTCCCGAACGTAATCCAATAAAATGAATGTTTTTTGTTGTAGATTGATGGAATGCATTTGTTGGAAAAAAAACGTTGTAAACATAAATGTAACAATGAGTAAATGTTTATATTATGTAATGAAATGAAATGTTGAGAAGAAGAATGCAATAAAATACGTTGGAGACATTAGTATAATAATTAGTAAATGTTATAGTCCATTTATGCAATTAAAATATGGTGCATTTATTAAAATAAATGGTATAAATTTATTTAGTCTTAATTATAGAGTGAAAAGACCAATTTAATCTTGCTCGCCAAATATAAATCAATGCATGTCATCATTGCACCAACTGATCTTGAAGCTTTTGGAAAGATTGGCGGTTTGATTGCAAATAGATTTGATGAACTTATTGCAAATATGTTTATTAAGTCATTGTTTGATAGGCTCACATTTTCTATGGAAAATGAAAAATCAATACCATATTCCAACTTTTCATGTATTTGATAGGTAAAATTTTTTATGGAAAACAAATTCCACATTTTCATGCCACATTGACATTTTTCATGTTTTGGAGGAATTTGAATTCTCATTTTCCGCTTTACTGTAGCATTTTTTTTTTTGGATAATGGAAACAAATTTTAAGAATTATTGTAAAAAAAATATTTCCATTTAATTGACAATTTTCATATAAAACAAAGTCAAACGAACACTAAAAGATAGATGATTTTCATGAATTTTTATTTCGACAATGGAAGCAAATTTCATCCCCAATACGAGTAAAATATATCCTTTTAATTGACAATTTTTATGTAAAATAAAGCCAAATGAACACCAAAAATACTTTTATTTTAACATTTTTCACGTAAAAAATTATACCAATCAAACACAATAATTTACAATTCACAAAAAAATAATTTCTAGGCAATTAAATTCTCTGAAATTCGTTTTCTTTTCACCCAAATTTCATTTTTATAATCAAACGTACCCTAATTGATAAACACTTTGAGTGAGTTCTGTCCCATGAAAAGGGCCTAACCAGTTGAATTTATTGAATTATTTTATGAGAGAAATTTGACTAAAATATAATGTACTAATATAAAAAAATAGAAAAATTAAATAATTCTAGGGTAGAATAAATAATAATAACAATAATTATAGTAATAGTAGTAATAGTAATAGTAATAGTAATAGTAATTCTACAATAAAAAGTTTTGTTCACTCTAACATATTATCACATTAAACCCCTGTTTGATTTTTATTTTAATCCGATTTCAATCTCAAGTCAAAGTCAATTAATTTTAAACACACATTTTAAGGAGAGCACAACTTTTCAGCTATATATTTCTTCAACTTTTGTCAAAATTTGATTTTAATTTATGTCAAACATGGGCTAAACTTTTTTAATTTCTTTGACCACAATAATAAAAAGCGAGCTGCACTAATTATTAATACTATTCCGACTATTTAAATTAATTATTAATTTAATGATGCAAGCTTGATGACAATCTAAGATCATTTATAGGTTTACCTAATATTAGGTGGTGGTGTATTTCAATGACATTTTACATCAACTTTTTACATCACCTATACTTTAATTACTTGTGGTGTACTAGAATTCATGATTTGGTGACATGTTCAACAATTGATTAGACCTATCGATACTCCATGAATTTCAAATTGAAAATAAATTCTAACTAAATTTTCGACGTGTTAGAACTAGGGATAACAGCAGGAGAGGATGCGATCGAGATGGTTCTCCTTGTCTCATCGAAAATATTTAATAAACTAAGAATATCCCATCTCTAAATAAGAATTAAAATATTCTAATATACCATCTCATTTCTTCATTTACTTTATTTATTCAAATGCAATTTTAATTTAGAAACATAAAATTAATAAAAAAAAAAAAAAGGGTTATAGGTAGCTTGAGGAGACTAATCACGAGAAAAAAATCCTTCAGAGTTTCTGTATGTGTTAAACCTTGATATGTTGACTATACAGTAAAACTAATTTTGAAAGCTAAGTTTTTGTAGATTTTCTTTTGAAATATATTTTTGGATAGTAATATTCCAAAACGAATTCAGGATTTGACTAAAAAAATTTAAGCCGATCTAATAGTTTTTTAAAAAAAAATTCCACATAGGTTTTTTTACATAAAATAAAAATATTAATATAAAAATTTTATGGGCCAGAAGCCTAGGCCAATCTCTTTTCAAATCCGCCACTGATTTTATTTAATAGTAATAAAAATATTTTATAAATAATAAGCCAATTAAAAGATGCGATTGTTGATGTCAAATATCTTACATGAGTGTACTCGAGCTCGAATGAAATGGACTCGAGCTATAATCACGAAAAGAGCTTCCTAAAACCGGGAACAAAGGTAAACGTGGAGAAAATACACACACGCAAAATAATAAACAAAATAAGGTAATGTGTATCTCTAATGAAGCAGGTGAGGGTTGTACTTATGTATAGAAAAAAGATCCATCTGATTAGAACGGATATTTAATTGAGTTGAACTAAAATAGGTAAGTATACTATGACACTGAGAATATGATATCGTATAATTAGTATGTGACTAGTTATTAGAGAGTAGAAGTCGAGATCCATGATCTTGTCGTACCATTTTCAACATCAGTAGTGACTAATAAAAAAAATTATTTATATCCAACTTAAGATAAATTTTTAAGCAAAACATCTCTTTTTTAGTATTGGGGCCAAATCCTCATTTTAGTAATGGAATCTTAGCATGAAATTTTATTTATTTATTTATTTTAAATAGTTGGACATAAATGGAAATTTTACAGGAACATGTACAATAGAATGAAAGTTTTAAGAGAAAGGAATAATAACATTCGATTTTTTGCGGATGCTATTACTATTCTGTATTTTAACAAAGTTAAAGGTTCCCTCTTTGTTTTTTTTTTGTACTTGTATTAAAAAAGTGCAACATATAATTTTTAATAGATAAATATCGACTTTTTATAGTTTAAAATTAGTTGATTTTCAATGAGATAAAATCTAATTTTTTTTTTTAAATGTTAAAATTTTTATTACAAAATGTAGTAATTTACAATATTAATTATAATCTAAAGAGATCAAATCAAGATTAAAACATACTAAAATTCTAACTCATCTTCATATTTTTATTTGTACCCCACTTGTCTAATATATTGTGTCAAATTTATTCTAAATTGATTTAATATTTTTGATGTAGTTGCTTTGTCTCCTTCACATCTAACCTTTGAGATGCCTAGAACAAGTGGGTTCACATTCTTTATGTATAAAATGAACTAGTTTTAAAGAAATGTATTTCCTCCCGAATATAGTGACAATCTCTGTAGAGAATTGAGATCAATATTCGATTTGTCAACATAATTTTTATTCGAAAAATTAATGAAATGTTAGAGACGGGAATATTTCACTATATAAGAAATTGTTAAAATTGTTACCATATTGATATATTTTTACTGTACAAAAGAGAACAAGAAAATCTTTTAAAAACTAAACCTAGTATTTTTCCTCTCAACATCCTAATCACATGTTGAATACAAGAAAAAACCACGTCAATTTGAGAAGTAAATTTGACACAATCTTTCAATATATCACCAGAAGTTAGAGTCATTTTAATATCAAGTCTTTTTAAATTAAATGGCTTATTGAAATTCCAAATGGGTTTATTCTAATTACAACATGAAATGTTATCTTTTGTTTAGAATGTCACACATGATAAATTGATCTATTATATTTGTTACAATATTTTTTAAGTGATTAGTCACAAGGTGAGCCAATTGTTAAAGTTGTTACCTCAAAAATTTGAAATATATTAAATATCATATTATGTGAGAACTATTTTTTAAATGATTATTACTTTATTGTAATTCAATTATTTCAATAATATCTTACTTTTCATTTTTCAATATGTAAATTTGAGAAGCACTTATTTCTTTCCCATAATGGCAATTTATGCTGCCACTTTTTTTTTTCTTTTGGCTTCTTATTTAACAATTTTTTCCCCCAAAAATCTCTACACCGACTTAACTCCAAATAATTGATAAACTTTGACAACCATAACTCCAAATCGAGAATTAAGGCATTCCATTATAAATAGCATACACATTTCGAATCAATAAATTCTAATAATTTTATCAACTTATTTCGAACAAACTAGTTGAAAATCATTCTACAATCCCCTATGTGCAAACTTGCAAAACTGCTAGTTGTAACACATCATTTATCAAGGAAACTAATGGCATGTTATGAGGATGTACATATATTCTTCATTTCATTAATATCATAGTGTTCAACTTTGAGCAGTAACTCGAGTCTGCTCTAATTTTGGATAATTTTTCTTAACATGACTAGTTGTCCATACCTGATGTACATGTGTTAGTCTTCTTTTCAAATCATTGTGTAATTAAATTAAATTAGGAGTGTTCAGTGCAGTGTGCCGCTCATCCACAATTGAATCTAGTCTTGGACACAAGCGAACAACAAAAACCTCGTGCGAGTAATTCATTGACTTGTGAATCAATACGTAATCAATGAGTAAAAATACAAATTTCAATTAAAAATATTGACGAGTCGCAAGCTAGCTCGCCTTAACCATCCCACCACCAAAGGACGAGTTGGTGGGATGAGCTGGATTTTTGAAAATGAGTCAGCTCACACTCAACTTGCCTAATATACGTGCACGAGCTGTCCTGCTTGGTAGGTCGAGTCAAGCCCAATGTTAGGCAAGCTGAATGATGCGGTTCGATCAATTTATCATTCCTACATTGAATAACAAATGATTGAATAGTACTTTCGTTCGGTTGGATTAGGCTTTGGACTTATGATTTATTTCTTCTTTATGTCTCAAAATGGAAATTGAGAAATTAAAAGAACAATGATGCTATATTGATCGAAAATATGTGACAGAGTCACAAAAGTCCTAATCGAACACTCGCAATAGGGGGCGGAGGTCATTTTCTTTTGGAAAATTTTTATTCACGCAGGTTTCACACACATTAAAGAATGTCAAGACTTCTGTCAAGTATTTTCAATCAACTCAACTTAATGCATGTTTGGTAGCAATTTTTAATCCTAAAAAATCAAAATTTTGACCATTATTTCACTATTTATGTTGTCTTTTTATTCCTTCCTTTCTCATAGGTAGGATCCACTCTTCCATCCAACTATCAAAAAATCAGTTATCAAAATCACTACCAAACATACCTTTAATTGTTATAAGAATTTATATTTGAAATTACTAATCAGTGAGGCGCATAGTACCTTCTATTTACTCATCAACACATAGGCGCGCGTGTTTTCACTTTGCCACCCACTACTCTTACAACAACCCAAACTCGCCTCTCCACCGTACTCTCTCTCTAACCCTGTGAAGCTTCAGTACACTCACACCTCGAAGCACAAAACTTCCTTGACAATAAGCAAAGCCCACCTCCAGGATTCCCCGCCGGAGTCCTCCATGGAACCCCGACACGGAGGTGCCCGCCACCGTACTCCGGCCAAATGCACTAGATCCTAGGTCTACGTCTAACCTTTGACACATGTCACAGCAACACTTAAAATTGAACTACCAAACTCCCATAATACACAATCATATGAAAAAAGCAGTGTCTAGTTGAAACAGGAAATTAGTACATTGATTAGTGCACAGTAGTTGAGACTTGAAATTTCAATTATAATGGCTGCACTTAGCACCGCTACCACATCAGCGGTGGAATCCACATCCGTTGCGGTGGCGTTATCCTCGGAGGAGCTGGCTGCCAAGGCGGCGCATAAGAGATATGAGGGCTTGGTGATGGTACGGACCAGGGCTATTAAGGGCAAAGGAGCTTGGTACTGGGCGTATTTCGAGCCAATTCTTGTGCATAATTCAGATACTGGCTTAGCTAAGGCTGTAAAATTACGGTGTTCCTTGTGCGAAGCTGTTTTCTCCGCCTCTAACCCGTCCAGAACCGCCACTGAACATCTTAAAAGAGGGACTTGCCCAAATTTTGCTTCAGCTCCTAAGCCTATTTCTTCGGTGCCTTCGTCTTCTCCAGTTTCTATTGCTAATATGGGGTCTAGTACTAATACTTCGTCTTCTCCTCAGCAACCCCACAGTCACCAGCGGAAGCGTAGTTCTTCTGGTGGTAGTCGTGGCGAGGGTGGAGGAGGAGGCAGTGGAGCTTCTGTAGGCATTATTACGACGCTATCCCCTCACAAGATACCGCCATTGGCCATTGTTGATCCTTCAAGATTTGCAGTGGAGTTAGCTCACCCTCCTGTAATTTCAGTAGCCAGTACTAGTGTTGTTGTTGCATCTGCTAGTGCAAGTCCTCGCGGTGGCGGCATGTTGTATGGACAGCAGCAACAGCACCAACTAGTGCTGTCTGGTGGAAAGGAAGATTTGGGACCTCTTGCAATGTTAAAGGATAGTGTAAAGAGACTGAAGAGTCCCACTGCATCAACTACACCAACATTAAGCAAATCCCAAGTTGATGCCGCACTGGATTATCTTGCTGATTGGTTTTATGAGTGTTGTGGGTCAGTCTCAATTTCAAGTCTTCAGCACCCTAAATTCATGGCATTTCTCAACCAGGCTGGGTTGCCTACAATTTCACGAAGAGAAGTCTTTGGGTCGAGATTAGATACTAAGTATGAGGAGCTCAAGGCCGAGTCCGAGGCCAAAATTCGAGATGCAATGTTCTTTCAGATAGCATCTGATGGTTGGAAGTCAAAGAATGATGGCATTTTTGGGGATGACAATTTTGTGAATTTGACAGTGAATCTTCCCCATGGGACTAGTGTGTTTAGGAGGGCAGTTTTTACTAATGGTTATGTGCCTTCTAAATATGCAGAAGAGGTTTTGTGGGAAACTATTACTGAAATTTGTGGGAGCACAGTGCAGCAATGTGTAGGTATAGTTTCAGACAAGTTTAAGGCTAAGGCATTAAGGAATTTAGAGGATCAGCATCCTTGGATGGTTAATCTTTGCTGTCAATATCAAGGTTTCTATAGTCTGGTTAAGGATTTCGGCAAAGAGCTCTCGTTATTCAAGAACGTGACTGAGAGTTGTTTGAAATTGGCAAATTTTGTTAACAATAAGTCTCAAATTCGACATAGTTTTCATAAGTATCAATTGCAGGAATATGGGAATGCTCATTTGCTGAGAGTGCCTTTGCGCGGTTATGAAAGATCAGATTTCAGTCTAGTTTACACAATGGTAGAAGACATACTGTGTTCTGCACGGGCGCTTCATTTAGTATTCTTAGATGAAGCGAACAAGAGAATCTTAATGGAGGAGCCAATTGCTAGAGAAATTGAAGAAATGATGAGGAATCCACATTTTTGGAATGAATTAGAAGCGGTGAATTCTTTGGTTAAGTTGGTGAAGGCAATGGCTCAGGAGATTGAGATGGAGAAGCCACGGGTTGGACAGTGCCTTCCACTTTGGGAAGAGCTTAGAGTGAAAGTAAAGGATTGGTGTTCTAAATTTCACATTGTTGAAGGACCTGTGGAGAAGGTGATCGGCATGAGGTTCGAAAAGAATTATCACTCAGCTTGGGCTGCGGCATTCATACTCGATCCACTTTATTTGATTTCGGACAGTAGTGGGAAATACTTGCCGCCCTTCAAATTTTTGACACCCGAACAAGAGAAGGATGTCGACAAGATCATAACAAGGCTTGTATCACGGGAGGAGGCACACATTGCACTTATGGAGTTGATGAAGTGGAGAACAGAAGGGCTCGATCCAGTTTATGCTCAAGCGGTACAATTGAAGCAAAGGGATCCTAGTACCGGAAAGATGAAGAATGCCAACCCCCAAAGCAGCAGGCTCGTATGGGAAACGTACTTGACCGAGTTTAAGTCATTAGGGAAAGTAGCAGTTAGGCTAATTTTCCTTCATGCAACATCGTGCGGTTTCAAATGCAACTGGTCTTTACTTAGATGGGCAAGTGCTCATTCCCATTCAAGGTTGGGCATGGACAGGGCGCAAAAGTTGATATTCATGGCTGCTCATTCAAAAATCGAAAGACGGGATTTATCCAATGACGAAGATAAGGAAGCAGAGCTATTTGATTTGGAAAACGCTGAGGACGATGTGCTCAATGAGGTTTATGTTGATACATCCTCTGTGTAAGATTCCCTATTATCCCCTTGCTTTGCAGCCTAAGTTATAGATCTTCTGTTTCCCAATTTTTTTTCCTTTTGATTCTTTTTACTGTGGTGGTTCTTTCATTGCTCTTGGAAGATTTTGTGGCAGTTTCTGAGAAAGTGGGATGTTAGTCATATTGCAAGTAGCTATTCACTCTTTAGAATTATTGAGGTTAGAGAATGGCTTCTTGTTTAAAAAGATAAAAGCCATTGAGCAGAAGCTGCAGAATAGTGGGAAGTGTAACATTTTTTGTTCCTTTCACGGTCTGGATTGAATAAAATTTATTCAAAAAGAGAAGGTTTTTGTTTTTCCTGCTGCCTAAAATAAGTTTATACTCTTGTTTGCAGTTTGATAAGCATTTTTGTCATTCCTTCACTGTAGATGCATTTTTCTTCTTGATAGATTTTGCTTGTTATATATGACAAATAAAGGTTACTATGATTATTACTGAGTTAAAGAAAATAGCAGGAACATAGACCTTCTACATTTTGAAGAACTGGAAGTTGCTTTTCATTGACATTTTACCAAAGACGTTAGCCATTGATCCTCCGTTTCTGCCAAAAGCATTTTGAGATTTAAATGAAACTTTTGTTTCTCATATGAATTACAATAAAAAGATACCATTGTTCAAGTATCTTGAGTTGCTTGATTATTTAAATATATTGTGCCTAGTATCATCGAGATTGAAATAATAAGACTATTTTTGGCTATAACTCAAAATGTCCCATTCACTGTGACTCCGATTTATTCTCTTTTCTTTGTGCTATAAAAGCTGTTATCGAGGCTGACTGCAATATAGATGAGGTTTCACTCGGCCAAGTTTTACATATTGTTGGACAGTGTTGAGTCTTATTGTAGACTTTTAACCTCTGACCACAGATTGAGCTAACATTGGATATTTCATATACCGCGTGCACTTTTTCTCCATTATAGAGAAAAGCTTAAGTTCTGACATTGTGGGTGAACCAATATGAATCTGTGGTGTGGTTTTGCTTGTTTTCTAGTTGTTTTTTGTTTCTTATTGCTTTTGGAATTGCTTTTGCTCAATCTAATTGTAAGTGAGATAATTAATTAGCATTTCTCTTCGTGAGTTAGTTCTTTCTTTTTTATTAGACTTCTCAGTCGACAGTCTTTTTACTAGAGCAATATTGGCAATAAAATATTATATTCTCCTTCCTACTGCTGAGAATGATAATTTATTCATACTTCTTGAGTTTTGTCTGAAGTACGGATTGAAATGTAATGCCAATTCAATTTTCTTGATGGCAGAAGCGTTTGAAGTGGACATTTTGAGACCGGAAAGAGCTCCATATTTAGCTAGGAGTCGAGAAAAAATGTCAGACGTTTGAATTGAATATCTCAATCAACAACCTGAGAAGACACACTGTCGACCAATCTATCTGGAGTAGCACTTCCAGCTGTTGCTATAGCATACCTATCTTCTGGATTATGTGCTTTTGACAGAGTCGAGCCCCACCACGAATGAAGTGGAAGTCTATTTCCAAATTTTGGTGGTTACATAGGGAGAAAAAGGGGCTTCAATTAAATCATATTAGGTAACTTCTCGTTTAAACGTTCCAAAGCTTGTGATCGTCATACAGACTCATTGGATGATGCTCTTCATCATTGCGAAAAAGGTGTTGAGAGGACCCCAAAGTTGAAGAATGCTGTCGGCATCAACCAACACAAAAGATGCTTGATAGCGATTTGATAACTAAGAGGAACTAATTTTCCGGGTTTTAGTTCGCTTTGAGAAGTGGAAAACTATAATTACCGGGTAATTGTTATAGTATTCTTATTTTATTGCTGTAATGTTATTCGACATGTTCATAGTTCATGAAGTGCTGTAAAGTTTTCCTTGTATCTTTTACTGTACAAAAATGAGCTTACTTATACATGATTTATGAGATTGAAAATATGTTTCTTGTGTACATACGAGCGCNTGTATCTTTTACTGTACAAAAATGAGCTTACTTATACATGATTTATGAGATTGAAAATATGTTTCTTGTGTACATACGAGCGCATATACATACATATACATATAAATAATACAAGTTTTTGTGTACAAAGTACTAAAATATATGTTTTCCGTTTGAGTATTTGAAAAAGTATTTGGTCGAATACATGTTATAATGTTAATAATCTGGCAAAAGTACCAAGTACTACCAAATATATGGACCATATTCTTGGGTGTGTTGACATTGTGGATTACACACTTGGATTTGTCTCTTTCTTTTATAACATATAGTGTAGATAACTTACTTTGTAGCTTGTTTCTTGGCTGGTTTTATTTTCACCCTGAATTGATTTAAATTGAAGGATAAAGATCTGTGTACAAAGCTTTTTTTTACAGAGGTCTTACCGACCCTTCACATGGGGTCGGTCTCACGTGGACCTTGATGTAATAAAAAATGAAGAAAAAAATCTCGACCCCACTCCTTTGTGAGAACCTTATAAGGGTTCTGTAATGTGTTGGGTTATACGCCCAGCATTGCCTTAAATTGAAACCCATTTTACTACAATTTCCATCATATTAAATGAGAAACATTGCGATTTATCCAATCTGGAAATGAGGAACATAACGTATTTTATATGTAGGAGTAAAGACTATTCAAAAAATTCAACCAAGACAAGCTCAAGTCTTTGATCCTGATAAACTCGAAATTGACTACATGAATCATATTTTGTTAATCTGATAAGTTCACCACTAGGTCTAGATGTACTTGAAGATATAAAACAATTATATTTTTCGCAACTACAATAAATTGTATTAGTTTTCGTATACCGCTCTCTTGAAGCATATTCTAAACCGTTTCAAAAGGCGATAAGCATAAATTTTACTCTCACATGTGTGGATGTGAGTTTTTAAATGTATTAGAAGAGATCAAATTAGGAATGTATATGTAGAGACTAAACAAAATACAACCAACCTTAATAAATAGAGCAATGCTTCATGTACAATGAATTTGACAACATTGTCGACAATATGTCACATGACATGTTGTTATTGGACAGTTTAAAAAACAATCAATCTTTTCAATCAATACTTTTTTGTCACACTCATCATTGTCAACAATATTGTACAAATAGATTAATTGCAATAAATTTAAAGTTAACTAGATGAATCTTGTTTCACTCTCCGATTGAACTGCTAGATTTGAGTGGAAATATAAAACAATTAACACTCTTTGTTTTACATATTTTCTCAGTGAGTGGATTCTTCAAAAAGCGATGAGCACACATACTGCATACTCACGTGCGTAGACACCCCCCGATTACCCATATCAAAAATACTTTTTCCCCTTAACCTTTTCAAGATTCACCCAGCCACCCACCCACCTTGACAAACAAAGGAAGGTGAAATAAAAAATCTAGTGATCCAACTTTTAGGTGAGCTAAGAGGGTAGAAAAGTACAATAATGGAGTAGAGTATTATTATGCTACCTTTGCCTTTATGTCATCTAATTACTCATTTAGTGGAGAGACAGAAATTCTTGTCGGTAGGGATGAATGGGTATTTGTCAAAATTCAAAAGAGTTATAGCAATACTGACTGCTCACCAACTGCTAATTAAAACACTTACCTTTTTCTAGAGGTTCGATTATTTTTTCCTGTATTCATACTGTTGTTCATTGACTCCACTTAAGATAAAGCAAGTATAATGATTAATATAGGATGATAATTTCTCGTTTTCCACCAGAATCTTTCTTTATTACAATCCTAAAGTCATTTTCGTTAAGATTAATTCACAGTTGACAATGTTTGTGTTACTACAATTTTACTTTCTTGTGAACCTTAGTCAATCGTAGGTGTAAATGACTAGGATTATTTTTCTATTACTAATATTATGGTGTAAAAGAAGATTTGCTTATGAAGAGTAAATCTAGCTGTGGGGTTTCTTGGTTTTCTTTTACTGTGGTTCGAAAGTGCTACAACGATTTACAAGAGTGACATTTCAATTTCAGCACAATAAATGAGAGGAGGGGTAAACCACATTGTTAGAACTACCCATAAAAAGGGTTATAGGAGGGTAGCCTAGCAATGCGGGATACAATTAGGGTCTTGACATTCCGCTAATCTTTTCAGAATCAACATTCACGACGACCCGTATTATCAATTAGGTAACTTCACGAGTCAGTATTCTATTGAAAGTAGCTCTCCCCATGTCAACCCACAAATTAAGCCTTAACCAAGCAACGCGAAATATAATTCAGCTCTACTATGTGTACATAAAATTTTTGTCAGGATTTTCATAGAATACACATAGCAACATTCAATTAAAGAATGACTTTTTGTCAGAGTTTTTACAGAATACACATAGCAACATCCAATTAAAGAGTGGAAAAAAAAAAGTCAGATCAACCAAATACTGCCACATCAACATTTGTTACTTTTACTTCTGTACAAACAAAAAAATTCAATATAATTAGGGTCACTGTCGGTCAACTTTTTCATTGAGAACAAATTGAAAATGAACGACAATATTGTAGAAAGGAAACATGAGGCAGCATCATTAGTAAAGTGGAAATGAAAGAATATAGAAGATATTTTCTAGGTTTAATTTGAGGTACTCTACTACTGTTTCAATGTTGTAAAAATGGCTAAAGGCTTGCCGTATGCTGGGCTGTAAACCACTCATAAATTCAATCACTTTCCAACTTGTTGCCAAAAGTTCTCTTTCATTATGTTTTCTATTATGTACCAAACCCCTTTTTTTATCTGGTAAATAAATTTGTATTGATCAAAGTTGAATACAATTATTCTAAGCATACCCGGGCATTCAAAATAAAACATGCATGTAAATCCCTTCGTTTTATTTGTTTGCATTATTCCTGTAATAGAATATATTGCAAAACAAGTATTAACCTTTTCCCTAATAATTAATTACTCCAATTTCGAAAAAAATTAAAAATTAATTAATATATTACAAATGATGGTACATATTACAATACAATTACGCTACATGTGCAGAAATTTTTGACAATTTTTTTAACAGATTGTTAGCTGGCAATATTTCATTAAATGTTGGACAAAAAATAAAGTTAAATCAATGAATACAATATTGCTACCTCATCATTTGTAGAAGTAGCTTAATTCTTACTTATAAGTGCTCTGCATCAGTAATGATCCTTTGTTCAATGTATGATACCATAGAATAGAATCTTTTCATTGCAATGTTCTTGTCTGTATCCATTGTTAATAGACAAGGTAATAACAATTATGGTACCGTTCTTTGGGAAATATAACATTTGAGTCCTTATTCAATTTCTAGAAGCACATAAGGCCCCGACTTCTAAAGAATAGATGCATAGGACACCACTTGGATGGAAACCATTGTTAATTTTGTCCTTCGATCTCTATGTTTTCACCAAATAAAAATGATAGAAAAGAATAAATGCAACAATGAAAAAAGAAGGGGAAAAAAAAAACCATAATGAAGGAAACTATTGTATATGCCTAAAGGTGGGCACCAAGTGGTTCGACATGAGTTCTTGAGAACTAATGAGACCAGTTTGGGTTTCCACGAGAATTATAAAGAACCACTGGTTTAATAGAGGATTAGACCAAACCATATTTTATTGATTTTCAGTCGATAAAATCTTATTTTTTTACGCTTTAAAATTAAGCCCATGTTTGATATCAATTATTTGAAAGAAACAATGTTTTGAATAGTGGATTTTTGAACAACATTTTGCTAAAAAGTAGGGTAATATTTTTGGATTTACGCGTATAATATTTTATTATATAAATGTGTGGTCGAAAATGAGTACGTGGGGAAAAAGTAAAGAGCTTTGAAAAAAAGTCTATCAAACAGGGGCTAAATTGTAAATACCTTTGTGTGAAATTTCTTGTTTTATTTTGAGGCCTTTTTGTTTGAGGTGACAACATTATTCATTATTCTTACATATTTTTAGATAAATTTTGACTTGACTGAGAAATTATAAAAAAAATTATGGTTTTGTAGCTGGAACTAAGAATCGGACCATAATTTTTTATTCTAAAATAGAGAATCAAATTAATTAAAAATCAAATCAAACAGAGGCGGCTAATTTAGTCGGGCTAGGCTCCAATTCAGGAGGGTCGAAACAAAAATTTGCACCCTCATTTACGCCAAACCTTACAACAGAGGTTTCAAACTTTTCAATAAAGTGTGATGCGGCCTTAAACCTTAAATTGTAGCAAATACATCTCAAATATTTCAAAAATGTGCAATAGAAGGACTTATTAATGGTTTTCGTCCGAAAGTTCGTTA